AAGTAAACGTCTGCTCTTATACCATATAATGGGAGTCAGAGGACAGCTGGTGTTACAGGTCAGTGTGACATGGCCCCGTTTGTCTGCAGGAGTCCTTTGAATATGTACCTCTGTGGGGAGATGACAAATACAGTTTTTATGAGTTATTACATTAAATAAGCATGTACATTAAAACATTTATTATTAGATATATACTCAAAGCACAATGAAACCAGAAAGAAATGGATGAGAGGTGTGGAGGTGTGTTTGTGTTTTGTGGATGTTTAACCTGTTGGATATGTGATGGAGCATGGCTCATCCACTGATGACTGTTTATGAGAACACATTGCCTCTTTAGCATAGGTCACACTAAAGCAGGTCGATGTGACAGAATCTGGACAAAAAGGAATAATGTCAGTTTTTAGTGAATTTAGTTGATCAGCAATTGCATGTTGTAGTCCTTATAATTCAGGGTTCCAGTGCTTGACTAATGAAATGATTCTTGAAAGTACATATTTACACATTTAGCCAGTAGTTTCACCATATAATAAGAAGCTAATCGTTGTCACTCACCCACTGAGACTTCAGGAGCTCTGAGACGCTCGTAGCCTTTGATAGCACAGGAGTATGTGACTACTTCCTCACTGCTGACCAGCTGGTGGTACCAGGGAGACCAGTCCTGATAGAGGAACTCTCTGTTCTTGTACCAGATGTAGACTGCAGGGTTTTCAGTCAGAGTACAGCTGGTGTTGCATATCAGTGTTACTGTCTGTCCCTCTGTGGTGGGAATCACCTTCACCTGCAGGTCTGAGATGATGATGTATAAAATAAGAATTAACATACTGTTGTCATTCTTTGAGTAATTTATTATTGACAACCACTGTACCTGCCACATGGAGCTGAATTTCACTTTGCTTGCAGTTGTCTGGTGTGTCAGTAGTTTCTTTGCAGCAGTAAACCTTTGCATCACTTTCTTTCAGGTCTTTGATTGTTAGAGTGAAGTTTCTGTCTTCCAACATGTTGTATGTTACATGATTTTCATCTGGTGAGATCTCCTTTGGAATGAATTTAGGTCCAGTGTACCATTTCATGCTTGAAGTGGGACGTTTAGCTGAGCAGGGCAGATCCACTGACGAACCAGATGTTTTTTTGTCGTCCCTCAATCCCTTTAACAAAAACTTTCATCAACAAACATCTGGACAAATTTATTCTTTATTCTTCTCTATACTAACAGGTTAGTGATGATGGTATGATATTGGAAAGGATCATACTGATACACTGCAGCACATCTAAAGAGCTTGTAGCAGAATAAGTGGAAATCATTACAAGCTAACATTCAATCAACTTTTTTTATTTATAAATCAACCTGCAGTTTCCTGTATTTTCCCTCCAAATTAACATCTACTGCACACTTTTAAACATTATTTTTATTTACAGTCAACAGTTAATCAGCATTATATATGAAATAAAAACATTAATTCATACCTGAGATGTACAGGATAAAAGCCATAAACGCACATCCAGCTTCTGCCAAAAACATGGCTGTTGAAGTCTTCAGCCTCCAATCAGAATGTTGGTTATATAATGTAATGGCTTTAGTACCACCACTGCATTCATAAAAACTTAAACAATATAAATGAATAATCAAAATCAACAGTCTTCTTACAGAGACAGAAGGGACTGTGGGTTCATGTGAGGGTGCACACAGCTCTGACACCAAAGGGTCACTTCCTTCCTCTTTATTAAAAAAAGGCCTCTAGTGAGGAATCTATGTAGTGCAGTAGTTGTTTGACATCATATTTATTAAGTGAATCTTCCACAACTTAAAAGTGTTACCAATTTTCTCACCATGTATTATTGTCTTGTTTTCAGTTGTCACAACATGTACAGGCTCATGTAGAAGGGTTAAACTGCTCTATATTTTCATCATAAAGATGTCAAAGTTGCCAGAGTCAGAGCAGAGAGATGTGAAAGAGTTTGGGGAAAAATAACATGAAGATACAAATGTTATGTCTGCCATCTTTTAATACACTTAGGTAATGCAGAGTAAAACATGTTTCTGAGAGCAAACTAGTTTTACAAAAGCTTTTTACAGCTGCAAATAAAGTTATACAACATGAAGTACATCATAAAAAACACACAAAATGCTTCAATGAGCCTACATGACAAAGCCACCCACATTTGTTGCACTGCATTGTGGCCTGGCTCAATCTATTTAAGACATAATATCAAGTTATTTGTACAGTATATCAGGTGTGATCAAGTCTAATCAATCAGCCCTTGAGGAGCGTCTGCCATAAACGTTGCTTAAAAAATTATTCAGCAGTGAGAGGACCAGTAGGAACATAATCTGTTCCCTTTGACCTTTACATCATTGAATTTGTTCATAAAACTTTCTTACTGTGTTATATGTGTTATATACTGTGCTGCACTGGTCTTTAGGTCTTTAGCTGCTCTTCTACTTGAATCTGACACATTGAAATATGTGTGACTTCTAGTGTCTTTGGTGTTTTGACGTCTTTAAATTTGTCTCGTGTCATTTTTAGAAAAGAGTTGAAGTGTCACTGAGGCAGCATTTCACACATTTGTATTTATGGTATGGCTTTTAGGCACATGCATTGTTCCATGCTAGCTAATGTGAGGCATTACTGTGTCTTCAGGAAAACTCTGTCTGATTCTCTGATAGATGTTTCAAACTGATTAGCTTTTGCTTGCAAGGCTGAGACCTTCTGGTGAATTCTATGAGACATGGAGTGAAGTGAAATATTGGTGGAGACTAGAGGGCTTAAACTGTGAAAGTCTGGTTGTTGAAAATAGTACCACTGATCACGATGAGTATGGCCACTAAGTAGATCCTGAATCAGTTGTGATGATAAGAGATGCTCACTCAGAGGTCGTGTTGGGACTGAAGTTGACAGTAGCATTAGCAACGTGCTCCTGTTGTTCGGGCTGATGCGGTTGGACAGTGCAGTAAAGAGTTTCTGGCTGGGTCTTAGAGAACTGGACTCTGCTATAGTGAAATTCATCCTGCTCTGCTGGTTGAGTGGAAATGTCTTCATACACATGACCACGATTTAGCTGATGAGGAGACAAGACAAACAGTGTCAGTAAATTGATGTTTTGTGTCACTTGAAGAATCAGTTTATCTGAAGGGAAGCAGGACAGAAGAGGGTGAAGGTTTCAAGTGCAGCAGAATTTCTACATTTCTGTTCTTTGAGAAGAAGCCAAAAATTAAATTAATTGTACTTACTTTACTGTACTCACTGAACATTATTAAACTAAATACAACCAGTCAACAGTCTGTGGGATTTTTTGGATCCTTTGCAGTCAAGAGTTTTAAATCCTACGATGAAGACTTAAATGTTGTGCAAGAAGAAGAAAAGTCTGATCTTTACCTGCTCTGTGTTGTCCATTGCTTCAGTTTCAGGAGACTGACCTGAAGTCCTCTTCTTTCTGGTTATTGAAATATAAATATATATGTATGAACAAGCAATTTCAGATTAGCAGTTGATTGTAACTGATGTGCAATGCAGCACAGTGTTGCTCACCTAATCCAAAGGAAGAAAATAAGAAATATGATGACCAGGAGAACAATATAGACTCCTGCTGCTGCTGCTGCTGCTGCTGCTAGTGTTTGTTTCTGTTTAACATTTTGGACAGTGAGAGGTTTTTCACCAGATGTAATGCCACCTTCAACAGCACAGGAGTAGCTTCCTGCATGCTGACTGCTGACTGAACAGAGTATCAGTGTCTTGTTGTGCTTTCTTGGCTCTGTCAAAGGTCGACTGTTGAGGTACCAGATGTAGGTTGTGTTGTGAGGCAGAGGACAGCTGGTAATGCAGNAGCTGGTGGTACCAGGGAGACCAGTCCTGATAGAGGAACTCTCTGTTCTTGTACCAGATGTAGACTACAGGGTTTTCAGTCAGAGGACAGCTGGTGTTGCATATCAGTGTTACTGTCTGTCCCTCTGTGGTGGGAATCACCTTCACCTGCAGGTCTGAGATGATGATGTATGAAATACAAATTCATATGCCGATGTTGGTCTTAAAGTGATAAATTACTGGCCACTGTACCTGTGATGCGGAGCTCAGTTTTGTTGTGCCAGCAGCATTCTGGGTTGCTAGTCGTCTCTCTGCAGCAGTAATAGTTTGCATCACTCTCTGTCAGATCATTGATCGTCAGAGTTGGATGACTATCTTCGGTTATGTTGTACGACACACGATTTCCATCCAGAGAGACCTCTTCCTGAATATACTCATAGTCTCCCCTCTCTACAGTGTACCATTTATTTCCTGAAGTGGGGCGTTCAGCTGAGCAGGGCAGATCCACTGATGAACCTTTTAAGGCACAGATGCTGTTTTCTTTTCCCTGAATCCCTTTAACACAAGATTTCATCAGTAAACATCATTTTTCAATTTACTCAATATATGAGGTGAAAAACAGTCATTCATACCTGAGATGTACAGGATAAAAGCCATAAACACACATCTGGCTTCTCCCAACAACATGGCTGTTTCAGTCTTCAGTCTCCAGTCATAGAGTTGATTGTATAATCTATTGGCTTTATCACAACTGCTGCGTTTTTAAAACATTTACAATATAAACTATATGAAGAAATGGTCAAAATCAACGACTTCTTTCAGAGACAGAATGAACTGTTGATTAATGTGAGGGCGGCTGCAAAACTACATGTAGCTCTGACACCAAGCAGTCACTTCCTTCCTAATTTTTCTTCTCAGTAAAAATAGATCTTTGGCAAAGAATCTATGTAAGGCAGTAGTTATGTAAAGTCATATTTTGACATAAAAAATTGTTTTACATTTATTATCATTTTGTTTTCAGTTATTCACATCGTGTATTTGCTCATGTAGCAGTGTTTAACTGTTGTATATCGATATCAATATATGATATAATGAAATTATATCATTACAAAGATGTCATGGGGACCAGAGTGGGAGTGGAGAGATGTGAAGTTGTCTTTGTTGGACTGTATTTGAAAAATGAGCACCAAGATACAAATGTAATGTCTTTCATCTTTTAATACACTTCAGTTAATGCAGGGTAAAACATGTTTCTGAGAGCAAAATCATTTTTACAAAAGCTTTTTACAGCTGCAAATGAAACAGAAAGTAATGCAACATAAGTACACCAGGAAAAAAACCCAAAATGTGTCAATAAGCTTACATGACAGAGCCACCCACATTTCAGCATTGCATTGTGGTCTGGTAACACTGTTGCTCAATGTATTTAAGACATAATTTCAAGTCATCTGTACAGCATATCAGCCCTTGAGAGGCGACTTAACCTGCCATAAAAGTTCATTACAAATGATTCAGCAGTGAGAGGACCAGTGAAGAACATAATCTGCTGCCTTTTCACCTTTACATCATGAATCTGTTCATAAATCTTTCTTACAGTGTTATATGTGTTATAAATTGTGCTGCACTGGTGTTTAGCTCTTTAGCTGCTCATCTACTTAAATCTGACCACTAGTGTCACTGGTGTTTTGATGTCTTCAAGTTTTTGTTGTGTCATTTTTAGAAAAGACAGTTGAAGCGTCACTGAGGCAGCATTTCACACATTTCTCTTTGTGGTTAGACTTTTTAGCACATGCAGTGTTCAAAGCCAACTAATATTAGGCATTGGATAGATGTTTTAACGTGATTAGCTTTTGCTTGCAAGGCTCAGAACTTTTGGGGAATTCTGTGAGACATGGAGTGAAGTGAAATATTGGTGGAGACTAGAGGGCTTGAACTGTGAAAGTCAGGTTGTTGAAAATAGTGCCACTGATCAAGATGAGTAGGGCCACTAAGTAGATCCTGAATCAGTTATGTAAAGAGATGCTCACTCAGAGGCCGTGTTGGAACTGAAGTTGACAGTAGCATGAGCAACATGCTCCTGTTGTTCGGACTGATGTGGTTGGATGGGGAGGTCAGGAGTTTCTGGCTGGGTCATAGAGAAGTGGACTCTGCTGCAGCGAAGCTCCTCCTGCTCTGTTGGTCGAGCTGACATGTTTTCATACTCATGACCAGGGTTTAGCTGATGAGGAGACAAGATGAACAATATCAGCTACATAGCACATGTAACCTCTGTACTGACAACTGGACTGATGACATTTGGGGGGTTAGCAGTATTTAAATACAACACTACACAGTAGGTATTAATTGGCAGGAGTAACACTTAAAGACCTTACAGCCTTAGTTAGAATAATGATTGCAGTCAAGAGTTTTAAATCCTACGATGAAGACTAAAATGTTGTGCAAGAAGAAGACATGTCTGATCTTTACCTGCTCTGTGTTGTCCATTGCTTGAGTTTCAGGAGACTGACCTGAAATCCTCTTCTTTCTGGTTGTTGAAGTAAAAAAAAGTATAAATATATATGTCTAGAAGCAATTTCAGATTAAGAGTTGAGTATAATTATTGTGCAGCACAACACAGTGTTGCTCACCTTATCCAAAGGAAGATAACAACAAGAAGTATGGTAACCAGGAGAAGAGTACAGACTCGTGTGGCGGTTGCTGCTGCTGCTGCTGCTGCTGCTGCTGCTGGTGTTTGTTTCTGTTTAACATTTTGGACAGTCAGAGTTTTTTCACCAGATGTAATGCCACCTTCAACAGCACAGGAGTAGCTTCCTGCATGCTGACTGCTGACTGAACAGAGTATCAGTGTCTTGTTGTGCTTTCTTGGCTCAGTCAAAGGTCGACTGTTCAAGTACCAGATGTAGGTTGTGTTGTGAGGCAGAGGACAGCTGGTAATGCAGGTCAGAGTGACATTTTGGCCCTCTGTCACCTCTGCAGGATGCACCCTCACTGTCAGGCCTGAAACAGGATTTAATATGTCAGTTGTCTGAATGTAACTGAAACATAGAAAATAAGTCCCTAATACGTTAACAGTCAGCTGTTCATGTGCAAAGTCATTGTGGTTCCTGTTTTTAAGACAAACCTTTACAATGACCCTGGCACCATCAGCATTGTATTTATTCTGCAGAATTACCTGTGACAACCAGCGTTACTCCAGAAAAGTCAGATTCTTTCCATCCTCCATTAGGTCGTTTGAGTCTGAATGTGTATTCTGCTGAGTCATCCTTCTCCAGCTTATTGATTCTCAGGATGTGCTGATTCTTCATGTTGTCATTAAACTTCACATGAGGTGCAGCCTCAGCCAACTTTACAGGTTTTTCCTTCCCATTTTTATTTATTTTAAACCATTATTTAGAAGTTGGCTGCTGGTTGTGGGGATGCGTGTATTCACTTGTAATGTTCACTGAAGAGCCTCGCAGAGCACAGATTCTCCTTCTGACGTAATTCACACTCAAGCAGTTACTGTTCTCAACACCTGAAATATAAATGTAAGATTCAGAGTAGCTCTTTGAGGATAAACATTGAGGCTTGATTATAAATACTCATCAACAGAGTTAATTCTTTTTTTCTTTTTGTGATTTTTTTGGCATCAAAAAATTGACACAGGTTGTGTGTTTTCCTGTTTTCATCCAAGCAACACAGGTAGACAAACAAATAAATAAGAAAATAAGAACATTTCATGGTCAAAGTAAAATGTTTTTAGGCAATCATGTCTCACTGCTCCTCTTCTCTCAGACTGTCTCTGCTGACTGATTTGACGTGCTCTCAGTCAACATGGACATCTAGTGGCCACATGTCGTCAGCACAATGTTATTAGTGGTTTGATTGCCAAGAAAACAGAAAAACATACACTCATTTTCTTTTTTTGATACCCTCAAAAAGGAAGACTTTAACCTTTTTTTCTTTATATTTTCCAGTTGTACTCACAGAATTCAGCAGACAGCAGATGCTTGAGGCCATTTACAGCACAGGAGAAGCTTTCGGCAGAGCGAGTAATTGTTAACTGTTGACGCCCAGAGAGGCTTAGTCTGTTCTGGTACCACCTATAGGCAGGTTCAGGGTCTGTCACAGGACAGCTGGTGGTGCAGGTCAGTGATGTAGAATTCCTTTGAACTTGTACTTCTGTTGGAAGATGATAAATTCATTTTTAATTTGTGCCATGTGAAATAAGATGAATTAAATGAATAAGGGTCTGAGAGTGAGAGGTTTGTGAATGTTTGTGGAAACTTGACCTCTGGGATATGTGATGGAGCAGGGTGTCTGCCAATCAGAACACATCCTCCCTTCAGCATAGGTCACAGTAAAGCAGGTTGATGTGACAGAATCTGGACAGAAAGAAATGAGATTCAGTATTTTAATTAGTAATAGCATGTCATAAGTTCTTCAATGATTCCATTTTGTCTTGAAAGTGTAACATGTTGCTTACTGCACTATAGCTAATTTTAATGACATGCAGGCTTTTGACCAGCTTTCAAATGTGTAAAACCTTTTTAAAATGATTTTTTTTAGATATCTCCAGGTCAGAGACCACTTCAGTAAAGATATTAAACAAACAGAGGATAGTGAACCCACTGTGATTAATATAATAACTGATGGAAATAAGAATAAAGACAACAAACATCTTGTATCCTGAATATATCATAGATTACAAAATTCCAAAAATTATTTTACTGCCTAGGTCAAACAGAAATGGGAGAGGGCTCAGGCCTGGAGATATCGGATGATGATTGGAATGATATTTGGGAGGGTCAAGCCCAGACCACCAGTTCAAGATCCTGGTGGGAGTTATGCTGGAAGAACATAATACAATATTTTGGGACTCTTAAACTGAATATTATACAGAAGCGGTCTCAGGGGTGGGATGAATGCTGCAGCCATTGGCAGACCAGTTTCATATTTTTGGGAATGCCCACTAATTTATCCATATTGGTTAGAGATTGCCAAATAAGCCAAATAAGGAACATCTTAGGAATTGAAGTCAATTGTTCTCTTGTCATATTGTACTTGGCAAAACCCCAGACAATCTCATGACTCAGGACAAAATTATTTTGTCTGCAAGCAAGACAGCAGTCACACAGAGGTGGCTACAGGCTAGCCCCCCTTCAAAGGACGACTGGATTGCAGTTATTAACGAAATTCACTGTATGGAGAAAACCACCTTTTCTTTAAGACTGCGACTTGATCAATAAACAAAACATTGGAAAATATGGACCATATAGACCGAAGGATGTAACTTATTGACTGGTTAGTTGAAAAACCCTGTTCTGTACCATTGTGTGGCTCTTACCCCCCACATTTTCTTCTTTTTTCTCCCCTTGACCAGAAAACACCACTAAAAAACAAGTAAAAAAGACGTAACATCATATGAGGAGCTAAATGTTGTCACTCACCCACTGAGACTTCAGGAGCTCTGAGACGCTCGTAGCCTTTGATAGCACAGGAGTATGTGACTGCTTCCTCACTGCTGACCAGCTGGTGGTACCAGGGAGACCAGTCCTGATAGAGGTACTCTCTGTTCTTGTACCAGATGTAGACTGCAGGGTTTTCAGTCAGAGGACAGCTGGTGCTACATATCAGTGTTACTGTCTGTCCCTCTGTGGTGGGAATCACCTTCACCTGCAGGTCTGAGATGATGATGTATAAAATAAGAATTCATATGCTGCTGTCGGTCTTAAAGTTATAAATTACTGGCCACTGTAGCTGCAACATGGAGCTCAGTGTTGTTGTGCCAGCAGCTTTCTGGGTTGTTAGTCGTCTCTCTGCAGCAGTAATATTTTGCATCACTTTCTTTCAGATCATTGATCTTCAGAGTTGGATGACTATCTTCAGTCTTGTTGTGTGATACACGATTTCCATCCAGAGAGACCTCTTCCTGAATATACCTGTGGTCTCTCTTCTCTACAGTGTACCATTTATTTCCTGAAGTGGGGCGTTCAGCTGAGCAGGGCAGATCCATTGATGAACCTTTTAAGGCACAGATGCTGTTTTCTTGTCCCTGAATCCCTTTAACACAAGATTTCATCAGTAAACATCATTTTTCAATTTACTCAATATATTAGGTGAAAAACAGTCATTCATACCTGAGATGTACAGGATAAAAGCCATAAACACACATCCAGCTTCTGCCAATAACATGGCTGTTTCAGTCTTCAGTCTCCAATCAGAGAGTTGATTGTATAATCTATTGGCTTTATCACAACTGCTGTGTTTTTAAAAAACGTTTAAAACATAAACAATAAAAAGAAATGGTCAAAATCAACGACAGTCTTCTTTCATAGACAGAATGAACTGTTGATTAATGTGCTGTCAGACAAACTGCATGAAGCTCTGACACCAAAATGTCAGTTCCTTCCTCATTCTTCTTCTCAGTAAAAAGAGATCTGTAGCAAAGAATCTATGTAAAGCAGTTGTTATTTAAAGTCATATTTTGACATGAAAAATTTGTATTACATTTATTATCATTTTGTTTTCAGTTATTTACATGTATTTGCTCATGTAGCAGTGTTTAACTGCTGTATATCGATATGATATAATGAAATTGTATCATTACAAAGATGTCATGGGGACCAGAGTGGAGAGATGTGAAGTTGTCTTTGTTGGACAGTATTTGAAAAATGAGCACCAAGATACAAATGTAATGTCTTTCATCTTTTAATACACTTCAGTTAATGCAGGGTAAAACATGTTTCTGAGTGCAAAATTATTTTTACAAAAGCTTTTTACAGCTGCAAATGAAACAGAAAGTAATGCAACATAAGTACACCATTAAAAAAAAAACCCCAAAATGTGTCAATAAGCTTACATGACAGAGCCACCCACATTTCAGCATTGCATTGTGGTCTGGTAACACTGTTGCTCAATGTATTTAAGACATAATTTCAAGTCATCTGTACAGCATATCAGCCCTTGAGAGGCGACTTAACCTGCCATAAAAGTTCATTACAAATGATTCAGCAGTGAGAGGACCAGTGAAGAACATAATCTGCTGCCTTTTCACCTTTACATCATGAATCTGTTCATAAATCTTTTGTATGATGTTAAATGTGTTGTATACTGTGCTGCACTGGTGTTTAGCTCTTTAGCTGCTCTTCTTCTACTTAAATCTGACATAGTGGCATATGTGTGACCACTAGTGTCACTGGTGTTTTGATGTCTTCAAGTTTGTTGCGTGTCATTTTTAGAAAAGACAGTTAAGGTGTCACTGAGGCAGTATTTCACACATTTGTCTTTGTGGTTAGGCTTTTTAGCACATGCAATGTTCAAAGCCAACTAATATGAGGCATTGCTGTTTCTTCAGAGACAGTTGGCCTGTTTCTCTGACAGATGTTTAAAAGTGATTAGCTTTAGCTTGTAACGTTCAGGTTTTTTGGGCAACACCTGGTTCACATTAGCATGGAGTGAAGTAAAGTGTTGGTGGAGACTAGAGACCTTAAATTGTGAAAAGTTGAAAATAGTACCACTGATAATGATGAATAAGTCCGCTGAGTCAGTTGTGATGGTAAGAGATGCTCACTCTGGGGTCATGTTAGGTCTAAAGTTGACAGTAGCATAAGCAACGTGCTCCTGTTGTTCGGGCTGATGTGGTTGGATGGTGGAGTAAAGAGTATCTGGCTGGGTCACAGAGAAGTGGACTCTGCTGTAGTGAAATTCCTCCTGCTCTGTTGGTCGAGCTGAGATGTTTTCATACACATGACCAAGGTTTAGCTGATGAGGAGACAAGACAAACAATGTTAGTTTACATCGTGGGACACATGACCTTGACACTGGAAGCTGGACTGATGACATTTGGGGGGATGTAGCAGTATTTAAAGACAGCATCACAGAGTAGGTAATTATTGGCATGAGTAACCTTACAGTTTTAAAAAGAATTATGATTTTACCAAAATGTGTAAATTGATAAAAATTGAATTATTTTTTGCAGCTATTACAGACATTTATTAAAGGTTCAGTGTGTTGTATTTAGGCATATTTATTGATAGAAATGTAATATATTATATTATATAATATGTATGTTTTCTTTAGTGTATAAGCACCTGAAAATAAGAAGTGTTGTACTTTAGTTACCTTAGAATGAGCCATTTAAATCTACATGTTAGTTAATCTAGATGTGTAGTGGGTCCTTGTCTATGGAGATTTAGCCATTTAGCTCTGCCATGTTTCTACAGTAGCCCAGAACCATCAGACTAAACATTAGATGGGGCCATATGCATTTTTGCGTTGGCCACCATAGTTAGCAGTCCCTCTGTGATGAGAGTGTTGAAAACCACTGATTTTTCAAATGTGAAACTGCTTTATTCAGTGCTTTTACTGGTTTTAATCACTGGGTCTGTTTGTTTTGGAGAGAAAGAGACCTCTGTGGACAATTTGGCTCCTGGTAAAAACCTCCTGAACAATGGACACTGAAGGAATTCTAACCAGGAAGGGTTTCAGCTGGATGGAATCCGCAATCCTGAAAGCTAGATGCCACTAATTCCCCTTAACTTTTACATGCTGGACCTTTGAATCAAAGTAATCCTTATCATGTGCATATCTAATATTTTTCATACAGCTCATAGGTGCATTGGAAAACTAATGTTGCTGTATAATGTGGACTACAGTAGAGGACCTTTTACAATGCACACCTGTGTCAGTAAATTGATGTTTTGTGCCACTTGAAGAATCAGTTTATCTGAAGGGAAGCAGGATAGATGATGATAAAGTTTTCCAGTACAGCAAAATTTCAAAATTTTGGTCTTTGAGAAGAAGCCAAAAATTAAATGAATTGTACTTCCTGTACAGTGTCCACTGTAATAACAGTAATGACCAACAGTGTGTGGGATTTTTGGGATCCTTTACAGTCAAGAGTTTCAAATCCTACGATGAAGACTAAAATATTGTGCAAGAACTTTGTTGAAATGTCCGATCTTTACCTGCTCTGTGTTGTCCATTGTTTCAGTTTCAGGAGACTGACGTGAAGTCCTCTTCTCTCTGGTTAGTGAAATTAATGAATATACATGAACAAGTGATTTGATATTAACAGTTGATTATAAATGATAGACAGTGCAGCAGAGTGTTGCTCACCTAATCCAAAAGAAGACAATGAGAAGTATGGTAACCAGGAGAACAATACAGACTCCTGTGGCGGCTGCTGCTGCTCGTCTCCGTTTAACATGTTGGACAGTCAGAGTTTTTTCACCAGATGTAATGCCACCTTCAACAGCACAGGAGTAGCTTCCTGCATGCCGACTGCTGACTGAACGGAGTATCAGTGTTTTGTTGTGCTTTCTTGGCTTGGTCAGGGATCGACTGTTCAAGTACCAGATGTAGGTTGTGTTGTGAGGCAGAGGACAGCTGGTAATGCAGGTCAGAGTGACATTTTGGCCCTCTGTCACCTCTGCAGGATGCACCCTCACTCTCAGACCTGAAAGAGGATTTAACATGAAAACATAAACAGTAAAGTAACTCGTATGTTTTCTGTTCTGCCTGATTTGAAAGGTAATTAATGTTACTTAAATTTAGACAACTAAAGCTACATTACTGAGGCAAAGATCATATAAGTGAAAGTTAAAAGTAAAAACAATGTAATGCCACATAGAGAGCAGCTTTGGGCCTCCTGCACTTTGGTCCATGAAACATCAACCAGCCTTAAAGTGCTGGAAATCTGCTACTGAAAAGTGCAGCAGGTGTGAGCAAAGCTGAACTTAAGACTTTGGGTTTCAAAAACAGTCAGCCGTTCATGTGCACATCCCAACAAGAAAAACCAAACAAAACAAAAAGCTGTAAACAATCAGTGATTGTGGGTCCTTTTATTTGTCGATAAACTCATACGATGACCCTGGCACCATCAGCATTGTATTTATTCTCCAGAATTACCTGTGACAACCAGCGTTACTCCAGAAAAGTCAGACTCTTTCCATCCTTCATTAGGTCGTTTGAGTCTGAATGTGTATTCTGCTGAGTCATCCTTTTCCAGGTTATTGATTCTCAGGATGTGCTGATTCTTCATGTTGTCATAAAACTTCACATGACGTGTAGCCTCAGAGAGCTCTACAGGTTTTTCCTTCCCATTTGTATTTATTTTAAACCATGATCTTGACTTGGTATACTGGTAGTTCTTAGGATGAGAATATTCACTTGTAATGTTCACTGAAGAGCCTCGCAGAGCACAGATTCTCCTTGTGACATAATTCACACTCGTGCAGTTATTATCTTCAGTACCTGAAATATAGATGAAAAAGTCGTATTTTAAAATACATGTTTAGGGTCAAATATTATTACTCATTAAAAACGGAAATTTATTGTGGGGTTTCCTGTTTTCATCTTGAGGTTGACAATCTTATAAAAAGGAAATCCGAACAAAAAAGTCTTATTTCTGTTTTTCTGTTTAGTGGTCAAAGATAAATGTTTTAAGGCAATTATTTCTAGCTCATAGCTTTATGATGAGACATTGCTCCTGTCCTCCGACTGACTGCTGACTGATTTGACATGTTCTCAGTCAACAAGGACAGTGGCCACATTTTATCAGTGCAATTTCATTGGTGATTTGACACACAAGAAAAGATAAAAACAAATTTTCCTTTTCGATACCCACGAACCTGGCGATAGCCGTGGCTGGAGGCTTTATGTTCTTGTGAATTTCTTCAAATTTGGCACAAATGTCCACTTGGTCTCAGTGATGAACTAATTAATTTTGATGGTCAAAGGTCAAGTTCACTGTGACCTTGTCTGTCTCATTCTCATCAGCATGATATCTATAGAGTGCCGTAAGGGAATTTACTCAAATTTTGGCATTTTATATGCAACCAGTCAAAGGTCAACTTCACTGTGACATCATAATATTCAGCATAAAACACTTGTCTGGCTAATACTGTCACATCTCAGGGAACAGAAGGGGAAGCATTTGGTCAGATACTGAACTGGTGACACTAATCTTGAATGCCCACCTTGAAACTGTGCTCATTGCCTTCTCTTATGTCAAGAAAATGCGTTTAAAGCTTCCATGTTTTCACAAATGTTGACATAAACTGTAAGAAAGACAGGTGCGTGGAGGTATACTACTGCAGGGTGGTAATTCTAGTTTAATTCTGGATGGATACACAGAACTACTTCAGGGTTACTGCATTAGACTTAACATTAAAAGTCTTTGTTTTATCCACCCCTATGATGCTGCAACATGATTCAGATCATCATATTTCTCCTAGTTTTTGAGATTTATGACATCAGTGCACTTTTTTCAAAACAAACACAGTTCAAACAGACCTCACAGCATGTTAAAAGGCTCGTACTCACAGAATTCAGCAGACAGCAGATCCTCGAGGTCTTTCACAGCACAGTAGAAGCTTTGAGCAGAGCTGGACTCTCTCTGCTGTTGACTCTCAGCGTGTGATTTTGTCTTCTGGTTCAACCTATAGGCAGGTTTAGAGTTGGTCACAGGACAGCTGGTGGTACAGGTTGCAGATGTAGAATTCCTTTGAACTTTTACTTCTGTTGGAAGGTGATAAAGTTCAATTTGTACCATGTTGAATTACATAAATTAGTGATTATATAAATTACATCAAATGTTAAGGTAAGGTAAGGTAGACTTTATTTTTCCGGGGGGAAATTCATTTGTCCCAGCAGCATAACATAAAAGAGGATACAGGACAGACAAATAATAAATAAATACCATACAAAACCTGTCCTCTGCCTGATGGATAGAATAACATATTAGAGTTCAGTGAGTTAAAGTGCTACAGTGGATGGCTGTGATGTAATGTGACTGGCACTTGATAATGACAACAGAAACAACAGCATCAACAACAACAATACAAACTACATATAAATATAAACTCTCAAAGCATTATCTGTGCAGTAAAACAGAATATGGAGACTTTGAAGTTAAATAAGTAAAAATTAGAAAACAAAACACAAAGATATGACAGTGTCAACACAAAATAAATGACCAATTCTAAAATACATCTCAACTGTGAAAAACGAGTAAGGGTCTGAGAGTGAGAGGTTTGTAAATGTTTGAGGAAACTTGACCTCTGGGATATGTGATGGAGCAGGGTGTCTGTCTATCAGAACACATCCTCCCTCCAGCATAGGTCACAGTAAAGCAGGTCAATGTGACAGAATCTGGACACAAAGAAATGAGATTCAGTATTTTTATGGGTTATAGTCTGTCATAAGTTCTACCCTGAATCAGTTGTTTTTGAAATTTTGACATGTTTAACAACATGTTGCGTAACATGATAAGATGCTAATCATTGTCACTCACCCACTGAGACTTTAGGAGCTCTGAGATGCTCATAGCCTTTGATAGCACAGGAGTATTTGACTGCTTTCTCACTGCTGACCAGCTGGTGGTACCAGGGAGACCAGTCCTGATAGAGGAAGTCGTTGTTCTTGTACCAGATGTAGACTGCAGGGTTTTCAGTCAGAGGACAGCTGGTGCTACATATCAGTGTTACTGTCTGTCCCTCTGTGGTGGGAATCACCTTCACCTGCAGGTCTGGAAGAATAATGACGTGTTTATATACTGATGTTTGTCTTAAAGTGATAAATAACTGGCGGCCACTGTACCTGTAACATGGAGCTCAGTTTTGTTGCGCCAGCAGAGTTGTGGGTTGTCAGCCGTCTCTCTGCAGCAGTATTTGTTTGCATCACTCTCTCTCACATCATTGATTTTTAAAGTTGGTCTTTTTTCAGACATGTTGTATGATACACTATATCCATCTGCAGAGAGCTCATTCTGAGTATACGTGGAGCCATCTCGGTGCACAGTGTACCATTTGTTGCTTGAAGTGCCACGTTTAGCTGTGCAGTTTAGATACACTGATGTACCTTTTAAGGCACAGGTGCTGTTTTCTCGTCCCTGAGCCCCTTTAAGAAAAAGACAGATTGATAACATTTGAAAAGCTGATTTTCTGTTAATCAGTCTTCATTTCAGATTTTTTTTTCTTCAGCAGTAAATGAACCATTTCTTCCAATCTGACTCATGACCTCAGTCAAATATTTCTTAAATATTTAATTATCATTTTAAAGATAAACAAGCATTCATACCTGAGATATACAGGATAAATCCCACAAACACACATCCAGCTTCTGCCGACAACATGACCATTGTAGTCCTTCAGTCCCTCAGCAGAGAGGTCATTAAATCAAAANTTTTTCACCAGATGTAATGCCACCTTCAACAGCACAGGAGTAGCTTCCTGCATGCTGACTGCTGACTGAACAGAGTATCAGTGTCTTGTTGTGCTTTCTTGGCTCAGTCAAAGGTCGACTGTTCAAGTACCAGATGTAGGTTGTGTTGTGAGGCAGAGGACAGCTGGTAATGCAGGTCAGAGTGACATTTTGGCCCTCTGTCACCTCTGCAGGATGCACCCTCACTGTCAGGCCTGAAACAGGATTTAATATGTCAGTTGTCTGAATGTAACTGAAACATAGAAAATAAGTCCCTAATACGTTAACAGTCAGCTGTTCATGTGCAAAGTCATTGTGGTTCCTGTTTTTAAGACAAACCTTTACAATGACCCTGGCACCATCAGCATTGTATTTATTCTGCAGAATTACCTGTGACAACCAGCGTTACTCCAGAAAAGTCAGAGTCTTTCCATCCTCCATTAGGTCGTTTGAGTCTGAATGTGTATTCTGCTGAGTCATCCTTCTCCAGCTTATTGATTCTCAGGATGTGCTGATTCTTCATGTTGTCATCAAACTTCACATGAGGTGCAGCCTCAGCCAACTTTACAGGTTTTTCCTTCCCATTTTTATTTATTTTAAACCATAATTTAGAAGTTGGCTGCTGGTTGTGGGGATGCGTGTATTCACTTGTAATGTTCACTGAAGAGCCTCGCAGAGCACAGATTCTCCTTCTGACGTAATTCATGCTCAAGCAGTTACTGTTCTCAACACCTGAAATATAAATGTAAGATTCAGAGTAGCTCTTTGAGGATAAACATTGAGGCTTGATTATAAATACTCATCAACAGAGTTAATTCTTTTTTTCTTTTTGTGATTTTTTTGGCATCAAAAAATTGACACAGGTTGTGTGTTTTCCTGTTTTCATCCAAGCAACACAGGTAGACAAACAAATAAATAAGAAAATAAGAACATTTCATGGTCAAAGTAAAATGTTTTTAGGCAATCATGTCTCACTGCTCCTCTTCTCTCAGACTGTCTCTGCTGACTGATTTGACGTGCTCTCAGTCAACATGGACATCTAGTGGCCACATGTCGTCAGCACAATGTTATTAGTGGTTTGATTGCCAAGAAAACAGAAAAACATACACTCATTTTCTTTTTTTGATACCCTCAAAAAGGAAGACTTTAACCTTTTTTTCTTTATATTTTCCAGTTGTACTCACAGAATTCAGCAGACAGCAGATGCTTGAGGCCATTTACAGCACAGGAGAAGCTTTCGGCAGAGCGAGTAATTGTTAACTGTTGACGCCCAGAGAGGCTTAGTCTGTTCTGGTACCACCTATAGGCAGGTTCAGGGTCGGTCACAGGACAGCTGGTGGTGCAGGTCAGTGATGTAGAATTCCTTTGAACTTGTACTTCTGTTGGAAGATGATAAATGCACTTCTAATTTGTGCCATGTGAAATAAGATGAATTAAATGAATAAGGGTCTGAGAGTGAGAGGTTTGTGAATGTCTGTGGAAACTTGACCTCTGGGATATGTGATGGAGCAGGGTGTCTGCCAATCAGAACACATCCTCCCTTCAGCATAGGTCACAGTAAAGCAGGTCGATGTGACAGAATCTGGACAGAAAGAAATGAGATTCAGTATTTTAATTAGTAATAGCATGTCATAAGTTCTTCAATGATTCCATTTTGTCTTGAAAGTGTAACATGTTGCTTACTGCACTATAGCTAATTTTAATGACATGCAGGCTTTTGACCAGCTTTCAAATGTGTAAAACCTTTTTAAAATGATTTTTTTTAGATATCTCCAGGTCAGAGACCACTTCAGTAAAGATATTAAACAAACAGAGGATAGTGAACCCACTGTGATTAATATAATAACTGATGGAAATAAGAATAAAGACAACAAACATCTTGTATCCTAAATATATCATAGATTACAAAATTCCAAAAATTATTTTACTGCCCAGGTCAAACAGAAATGGGAGAGGGCTCAGGCCTGGAGATATCGGATGATGATTGGAATGATATTTGGAAGGGTCAAGCTCGGACCACCAGTTCAAGATCCTGGTGGGAGTTCTGCTGGAAAAACATAATACAGTATTTTGGGACTCTTAAACTGAATTTTATACAACAGCGGTCTCAGGGGTGGGATGAATGCTGCAGCCATTGGCAGACCAGTTTCATATTTTTGGGAATGCCCACTAATTTATCCATATTGGCAGGAGATTGCCAAATAAGCCAAATAAGGAACGTCTTAGGAGTAGAAGTCAGTTGTTCTCTTGTCATATTGTACTTGGGCAAAACCCCAGACAATCTCATGACTCAGGACAAATACATTTACAAAGTTCTTTTGGCCGCGAGCAAGACAGCAGTCACACAGAGGTGGCTACAGGCGAGCCCCCCTTCAAAGGACGACTGGATTGCAATTATTAACGAAATTCACTGTATGGATAAAATCACCTTTTCTTTAAGACTGTGACTTGATCAATGAACAAAACATTGGAAAATATGGACCATATAGACCGAAGGATGTAACTTATTGACTGGTTAGTTGAAAAACCCTGTTCTGTACCATTGTGTGGCTCTTACCCCCCACATTTTCTTCTTTTTTCTCCCCTTGACCAGAAAACACCACTAAAAATAAGTGAAAAAGAAGTGTCATCATATAAGGAGCTAAGTGTTGTCACTCACCCACTGAGACTTCAGGAGCTCTGAGACGCTTGTAGCCTTTGATAGCACAGGAGTATGTGACTGCTTCCTCACTGCTGACCAGCTGGTGGTACCAGGGAGACCAGTCCTCATAGAGGTACTTGTTGTTCTTGTACCACATGTAGACTACAGGGTTTTCAGTCAGAGAACAGCTGGTGCTACATATCAGTGTTACTGTCTGTCCCTCTGTGGTGGGAATCACCTTCACCTGCAGGTCTGGAAGAATAATATAAAAAAAAAAAAGAAAGATTGATTCATATACTGATGTTTGTCTTAAAGTGATAAATAACTGGCGGCCACTGTACCTGTAACACGGAGCCCAGTGCTGTTGCGCCAGCAGAGTTGTGGGTTGTCAGCCGTCTCTCTGCAGCAGTAAAAGTTTGCATCACTCTCTCTCACATCATTGATCTTTAAAGTTGGTCTTTTTTCAGACATCTTGTACGATACACTATATCCATATGGAGAGAGTTCATTCTGAGTATACGCTAAGTCATTCCAGCGCACAGTGTACCATTTGTTGCTTGAAGTGCCATCTTTAGCTGGGCATGGCAGATACACTGATGTACCTTTTAAGGCACAGGTGCTGTTTTCTCGTCCCTGAGCCCCTTTAAGAAAAAGACAGATTGATAACATTTGAAAAGCTGATTTTCTGTTAATCAGTCTTCATTTCAGATTTTTTTTGTCTTCAGCAGTAAATGAACCATTTCTTCCAATCTGACTCATGACCTCAGTCAAATATTTCTTAAATATTTAATTATCATTTTAAAGATAAACAAGCATTCATACCTGAGATATACAGGATAAATCCCACAAACACACATCCAGCTTCTGCCGACAACATGACCATTGTAGTCCTTCAGTCCCTCAGCAGAGAGGTCATTAAATCAAAAAGTGTATAAAATCTGCAGCACTTTGCGTACAACCTGAACGCTGGAGAGGACTGTTGGTTAATATGAGGGTGGGTGATTGCACGTGGCTCTGACTTCAAAACTTCACTTCCTTCAAGTTGAGGTGATTTTTTTTTCCCCAGTAAAAGGAAACTGTAGGTGAAGACGTCATGTTCCGCTGTTTTTACATGGTATCATAATTTAATCTGGATTTTTTTTTATTTAACACAATATCATCTCTTGATTCTGTCTCTTCTTACAGTTATTTTTAAAATTGTTACTTAATGTGTTAGCTCTTTATGCAACATGCAGAAGTTAAGTGCATGTGTTGAGCTGCAGGAAGAGAGGTGATCAGAGGATAGTGTTATCTGGTTGTTTTGTGGTTTTTGAGTTAAACACATAAAGAGGAAAGCTGCAGACTCNCACCTGCAGGTCTGGAAGAATAATGACGTGTTTATATACTGATGTTTGTCTTAAAGTGATAAATAACTGGCGGCCACTGTACCTGTAACATGGAGCTCAGTTTTGTTGCGCCAGCAGAGTTGTGGGTTGTCAGCCGTCTCTCTGCAGCAGTATTTGTTTGCATCACTCTCTCTCACATCATTGATTTTTAAAGTTGGTCTTTTTTCAGACATGTTGTATGATACACTATATCCATCTGCAGAGAGCTCATTCTGAGTATACGTGGAGCCATCTCGGTGCACAGTGTACCATTTGTTGCTTGAAGTGCCACGTTTAGCTGTGCAGTTTAGATACACTGATGTACCTTTTAAGGCACAGGTGCTGTTTTCTCGTCCCTGAGCCCCTTTAAGAAAAAGACAGATTGATAACATTTGAAAAGCTGATTTTCTGTTAATCAGTCTTCATTTCAGATTTTTTTTTCTTCAGCAGTAAATGAACCATTTCTTCCAATCTGACTCATGACCTCAGTCAAATATTTCTTAAATATTTAATTATCATTTTAAAGATAAACAAGCATTCATACCTGAGATATACAGGATAAATCCCACAAACACACATCCAGCTTCTGCCGACAACATGACCATTGTAGTCCTTCAGTCCCTCAGCAGAGAGGTCATTAAATCAAAAAGTGTATAAAATCTGCAGCACTTTGCGTACAACCTGAACGCTGGAGAGGACTGTTGGTTAATATGAGGGTGGGTGATTGCACGCGGCTCTGACTTCAAAACTTCACTTCCTTCAAGTTGAGGTGATTTTTTTTTCCCCAGTAAAAGGAAACTGTAGGTGAAGACGTCATGTTCCGCTGTTTTTACATGGTATCATAATTTAATCTGGATTTTTTGTTATTTAACACAATATCATCTCTTGATTCTGTCTCTTCTTACAGTTATTTTTAAAATTGTTACTTAATGTGTTAGCTCTTTATGCAACATGCAGAAGTTAAGTGCATGTGTTGAGCTGCAGGAAGAGAGGTGATCAGAGGATAGTGTTATCTGGTTGTTTTGTGGTTTTTGAGTTAAACACATAAAGAGGAAAGCTGCAGACTCAACATCCACACTCTTTTAATACACTACAGAACATGTCCATAAGCAACAATTTATTTGCATATTCTATACAGTGTCACCTGTGTATATGTGTGATATGAAATTGAAGGGTAGACGATCCACACTGCTGAGTACAAGCATTACGTTATCGCCTACACTACTTAGTGTCGTACTCTCAGTGGGAGATAGCTACATGTGGCCACATGTTCTCAACACGCCTGTGGGTTGTGTGCTCGTTGTTGTTTTTTTCAGTCTGTGATGATGTGATGTCGTTCATGGGAAATGTGTGTGAAGACCAAAGATCTCTTATCTACAGCTTAGTTGATCCCCCTGCTCTCAGCTTATTAGACAGAGAAAATTCTGTAGATTATGGGAGGTGATGGTTGGTACTTGTAACAGTTGCAATGTGTCAGTTTGTTTTTGAGTGTTTTTTAAGACTTGTTTAACTGCTACTTGTCTGTGAGAGCAAGGTAACAAAGTCTAAAGCCTTTGTAATGATAATAAATGTTCATGCAGGGATCCTGCTTTGTCTAAAGTTGACAACAGCATAGTGCACATGCTCCTGTTGTCGGGGCGGATGTCGCTGGACTGTGGAGTAGAGAGGATTTGTCTGGTTCCTGGAGAAGTGGCCTCTGCTATAGTGAAGCTCATCCTGCTCTGTTGGTTGAGTGGAGATTTCGTCATACAGGGAACCAGAGTTTATCTAATGAGGAAACAAGACAAATTACATCACATTATGTTGCACAGAAATGTTTGTGTGCCTTTTATGCATGTTTTTCTAATGAAGCTAAATTCTAATCTTTACCTGCTCCATATTGTCTGACGTTTCAGTTGGAGGAGATTGACTGGAAGTCTTCTTTCTTCTAGTTAGTTAAACAAATGAGGATATAAATGATGAGGTATTTCAGATGGGAGATTGAACGCTCTTGCTCTAAAACAAGGCAGAGTGTCACTCACCTAATCCACAAGAAGACAGTGAGGGGTATTAAAAGCAGGAGAGCAGCACAGACTCCTGCAGCTGCTGCTGGTGTCCATTTTCCTGCTTTACTCTGGACAGTGAGAGTCTCTTCAGGGGATGTGATGTCTCTCTGGGTTTTGATACCACAGGAGTAGTTTCCTGCATGCTGACTGCTGGCAGGGTCTAGCACCAGGTGTTTGGTTTGGGTCTCTGTCAGGGTCAGAGGTCGACTGTTGAGGAACCAAATGTAGTTTGTGTTGTCAGTGAGAGGACAGCTGGTACTGCAGGTCAGTGTGACTCTCTGGTCCTCTGTCACCACTGCAGAAGGAGTAAACTTCACTTTCAGACCTGGAAGAGTTACATTGGTCACTAACTGTAAAATAGAGATACTATCACTTAACAAATCCTCATTCATATGTTTTCCAGTATCTGCTAAAACATCCATGCAGTCCTAAAATGCAGGGATGACGCATTTTAAGACTGTAATGGAAAGTACAAAAATGACACCAAAGTACACACACAGTAACTTCCACAGCTTCCACACTGAACATGAGCGAGCATGAAATAATCTGTATTTTTGATTGAGCATTAGTTCTCTTGACTTAAGTCTGCTGAGTGCTGCTAGTGAGGAGCTGTGAGGGATAAACACCTTTGTGTTAAGAAATACATGATAAGAGTTACCTGTGACGATCACAGTTACTCCAGGAAAGTCAGGTTGTTTCCATCTGTTGTCATCTTGCTGTTGTCTGAATCTGTATTCTGCTGAGTCATTCTCCTTTAGGTTTTTGATTCTCAGGGTGTGGAGGTTCCTTTTGTTGTCATGATACCACACACGACCTGCAGCCTCAATCAGCTCTTCATCATCCTCCTCACTACTTCTCTTTATTCTGAACCATAATTTGGACTTTGGCTTCTGGTTTTTGGGATGGGAATATTTACTTGTAATGTTCACTGAAGAACCTTCCAGAGTGCAGATTCTCCTGCTGACATAATTCACACTCCAGCAGTTCTTATCATCAGGACCTGAAACAAGATCATGAAGGACTCGTCAAAGGCATCAAAGGTGTCTGTTTAAGTATATGGCCATGGAAGATTTTATAAGATGTGTTGACATTTTAGCTTGGATATTGTTTTGTTAGTTTTTTGGACAATTTTTTTGTGAGTTAACAGAAAACTATTCATTCACAAAAATTCAATTCTTAAAAGTCCAGTGTGTAGGGTTTAGAGGGATATATAAACACAAATGGAATATAGTAGTAAAATAAGTATGTTTCTTTGGTGTATAATCACTGGAAAATAAGTTTGTCTTCGTAACCCAAGAATAAGTCATTTATATCAGGCAGCAGGTCCTCATCCACAGAGATGGCCATGTTGCGCCACTATGTTTCTACAGTAGCCCAGAACGGACACACCAAACACTAACTCTAGATAGGGCCTTTCGCATTTTGCATCAGTTACTGTAGTTAGCAGCTCCTCTGCAAAGGAAGTGTCAGAAAAAAAAAACACTTATTTTTAAAAGTGAAACTGCTTCATTCAGTGTTTTTACCGGTTTAAATCACCTGGTCTTTTTGTTTTGGAGACTAAGAGATCTATGCGGATAATTCAGCTCCTGGTAAAAACCTCCTGAACAATGAACATTGCAGGAATCTTAAGGAACCCTGTGGACTGCTGTTTTGAAGCTTCAAGTACGGCATTTTGGTCATTGTCATCTTGTTTTTTTGGAGCCAGAAGTGACCATATATTGATTAGAGGGTGGAGCTGTGGAGGAGCGAGGGGTGGATGTGACTTTCAGATTTCAGAAACGCCTTGTAGACAGCCTGTCACTCAAGCAGCCCCGCCCTTAATTATGCATAACTTTGGGCCATAATAAAATGAAACGGGTGAGTCATTAAAAAAAGCAGTTGTACAGTTGACATGAATGTTGAAATAAGCTTTAGAGACCAAAATGGTTTTTTTGTACCAGGCTGCGAACATGTTTATTTTTGCTATAAAGTTGGCCATTTCAACACGGGGGTCTGTTTTGGAGCCAGCCTCAAGTGGCCATTCATTGAACTGCAGTTTTTGGCACTTCCACTTTGGCTTCCTTTTTCAGCCTTGGAGGTTGCTGCTTGGTTGCAATCTGCAATCCTCACCAATAGATGCCACGAAATCCTCCTAAATCATACACACTGTTCCTTTAAATACATTTTCTTAAGTATAATGTCACTGTTCTGTATTGCATAGCACAGATTGTGATTAAAGCAAAACTATTAACTATAGTTTTTATTATCATTCTATTATTAGCTACCATATTATATTGGAAGGTGTTTCAGCTATTTTGTCCACCGCCTCTGATGCTTTAACATTTTTCAGATTATCTTACTTTTTTGTCCCAGTCCCATATTATAATGCACCATAAGTTGGTTGGTACTCACAGACTTCAGCAGAGCGCAGATCCTCGAGGCCTTTTACAGCACAGGATCATTTTGTACCAGAGGAACGAGGAACTGAAAAATGTTGACTCTTAGTGTGTCTGTATGAGTATGCACCTCGGTACCACCTATAGGCAGTTTGGGAGTTAACCAGAGGACAGCTGGTGCTACAGGTCAGTCTGACACGGCCTGGTTCATCCGCAGGAGTCCTCTGAATATGAACCTCTGTTGGGAGATGACAGATACATTTTTCATTAGTTCACCTGTGCACATCAAATACATAAGTGACATAAATAGTTGAATAAATGCTCAAAAAGTGGTTAATTCAACAAAACAGAATATGTTGAGAGATTACAAGTTCATTTTCATCAATTACTGTGACATATTTAAGTGTAGAACTTAATGAATCATTGACATTGTTGAATATGAACTTTTGAACCCCTGTCACTACAAAATCTGTTATACTATGGTAATACAAGTTTTAGCAGAGCTGAGCTCAGTTTGTCATTGAGGATGTAACAATAGATTTCTTTTTGAAGAAAGCAAAGATATGACACTGTAAACCTGCCTGCTAATGCCACTAATCTCTTCAGTGAAAACCTGATTGTAAAGGCATTAGAGGTGTGAGGTGTGTTTGTGTTTTTGTTTGTCAAGGTTTGGTAAAACTTCACCTCTGGGATATGTGATGGAGCAGGGCTCATCCTCTGATGACTGCTCATGAGAACATATTGTCCCTTCAGCATAGGTCACATTAAAGCAGGTCGATGTGACAGAATCTGGACAAAAAGAATGTGATACATTATTTTAATGGTAAAGTTCCACTGCCTGAATAATATAATTCTTCTTGAATGTATGAACAGATCGAGTAACATGATGAGGAGCTAAATGTTGTCACTCACCCACTGAGACTTCAGGAGCTCTGAGATGCTCTTAGCCTTTGATAGCACAGGAGTATGTGACTGCTTCCTCACTGCTGACCAGCTGGTGGTATCAGGGAGACCAGTCCTTATAGAGGAATTCTTTGTTCTTGTACCAGATGTAGACTGCAGGGTTTTCAGTCAGAGGACAGCTGGTGCTACATATCAGTGTTACTGTCTGTCCCTCTGTGGTGGGAATCACCTGTACCTGCAGGTCTGATATGATGATGTATGAGACAAGACTTTATATACTGATGTTAGAATTAAAGTACTAAAATACTTGCAGCCACTGTACCTGCAACATGAAGTTTGATGCTAATGGACCTGCAGCGTTGTGGGTTGTCTGCATTCTCTCTGCAGCAGTATTTGTTTTCATCACCTTCACTGAGATCATTGATTATTAGAGTTGGCTCTTCAGACATGTGGTACGTTAAATGATTTCCATCTGCGGAGAGTTCATACTGTACATACTTGGAGCCATCCCAGTGTACAGTGTACCATTTGTTGATCGAAGTGCCACGTTCAGCTGAGCAGGGCAGATCCACTGATGAACCTTTTAAGGCACAGATGCTGTTTGCCTGTCCATGAATACCTTTAACAGAAGCAAACATCAGGACAGATTTATACCAAAGTATAATTGATTATATAAATAATTGATATTTTATGTTTATTGTTCTTTCAGTTTAAAGTTATCTTTCTCACATGTACTGTTTACACTTAATTATCTTTATGTATGAAAGCACAAACAGTCATTCATACCTGAGATGTATAGGATGAAACCCATAAACACACATCCAGCTTCTGCCAAAAACATGGCTGTTGTAGTCCTTCAGCTTCTAATCAGAATATTGCCTTTTAAACTATTCCAAAAAGTAATAATGAAAAAGTAGTCAAATCCACGAGCAGGTGACTTTTACTGTGTGAAGACCGGAGAGGACAGACTGTACTGTTAACATTTGAGAGTTTACCTCAGCATGCAGCTTTGAAACTCAAATTCCTTCCCCTTTTATCGCTGTATAATATCACTTCCTCACCTGACAGCCCAAATTTTAAACAAGCCTGACTGGTTGACACTCATCAGAATGTCATCACAGGCAAAATGAAGTCTACAGCTGTTTTTTCTTCAGCACATCCAGAGCTTAAACAGACAGAACAGACATACAGAAAAAGCTGACAGAAAGGAGCACCTGACTCCTCAGTCTCCATTTCAGCAGTTGGGAGTCTTTCCTCCAGAGGGTGCTATCATGTCATCTCATGATCTTAGCAGGCAAGAGATGCAAGTGCAGTGTAAATGTGTGTGTGTGTGTGTGTGTGTGTGATTGTGAGAGATTGTGCATGCATTTAGGTGTTTATTAATAGTTAACAGCCGACCATGGTTGCTGCATAGACCTGCTCAGTGCCCCGCCATAACATAGTGAAGAAACAGGAAGCTCCTGTTACTGAGGCAAGGTCATGGTGTTTGTGTGTGTGTGTGTCTGTGTGAAGTCTGTGCAGTAAGAGCGAGGTAGACTATGTGAAAATAAAGTAGTGTGTTAATGCCTGTTAGCCGTTTTATACTCTTGTATAAATATTGTGTAAATGGCCGGAATTAAGAGCTTTGTATGGAACCTTTTATAACAACTTCTAACTGACAGGTTCGTCATAGTGAAGACAACACAGTTTAAGTATATGTGTGTTAAAGACAAGCATATTAATCGCCTTCATCTTACTACCATCACATCATTAAAGGCATACTTTACCAGTTTTCAATCA